TCCAGCTGATCCGCACCACTAGTCCCATGAAACCAGGCGTTAGTGGGACAATCAGAAACAGCGCGGGTGCACCGATACACAATAAGGAGCGTCGTATGGCTCGTTGGGCGGAACATTCAAGATCAGTTCGGCTGGCCCCTTGCTCCCAGACATCTTCCTACTCAGGTGATGCAAGACGAGTCACGGACGGTTAGTTTAGAGCCATCGTCGGAGGCTGAGGTCCGAAACGCGATCACAGCCCTCAATCATTTTCGTGCTACTGGTTCGGATTCCCTCCCACCTGCACTATGTAAGGATGGAGGTGAGATCCTCTGCAAAGCACTGACCTCCGTATTCGAACGTATCTGGAAGGAAGTGTCCGGCTAACTGGAGTGAATCGATTATAGTGGTAATATACAAGAAGGGAAGTCGCACAGACTGTGCTAACCACAGGTGTATTAGCCTAACGCCAGTTGGGACAAAATTACTGGCCTCGATTCTCGTTCGTCGCCTCACTGTGGAACGGGAATCTCGGAGTATGGAAGAGCAGGCAGATTTCCGCCCGGAACGTGGCTGGATAGACCATATATTCACACTGCGGCAGATGCTAGGGCAGAGACACGCATACCGCAGACCGACAATAGCTGTGTTCCTCGACTTCAAGACTTAGTTCGATTCAGCAGATCGAAGCATTCTGCTCGAAATACTTACGCGGAAAAATGCTCCGACGAAATATGTGAACATTCTACGCGCGCTATACTCGAACACTACAGGCCTCGTCTGGGTCCACGGTGTCCTGTCGGATAACTTTCCGACCACAAGTGGCTTTCGCCAGGGTTGCCCGACTTCACCGTTTTTGTTCACTTTCGTCGTGGACACTATCATGGAGTGTTCCCTTGCGGAGTCCTATGATGTAGCGTTGAGGTTCTGCCTGGTGAAAGGTTAGTTGATCTTGATTATGCGGACGATAGCGTCTTGCTTATCCATGATGTTGCGGCGGGACGATCAGCCCGGAATAACCTGTCCAGAGTGGTCCAATTATTTGGTATGTACTTCGCACCTTCAAAGTGTAAAATGTTGTTGCAGGACCACCAGCCATTTGATGACCCCTTGACCGTTCATAAGGAGAAACTCGAGCTGATTAATCGATTCACTTAACCTGGCAGCTGCATCAGCAACGATGGGCGCATAGAAACAGAAGACAGTTCATGCGTTGCAAAGGCCAGAACTGCCTTGTTGAATCAATAGCATCTTTGGAGACAGAAGGGAGTTTTCCTCGGTCTGAAGGACCGTGTTTACAAGGCCAAAGTGAGGGCCGCTATGCTCTAGGGTAGTGACACTCGGCAATTTCAAATCTAGGGTCAACGTTGTCTGAGAAGCATTGCTGGTGTCGGATGGCATCAGCGTGCTCGCAACGATAGTGCGCGTAGGCGAGTACTAGGTAATCACAATCATGCTAGCTCCTTAGAACAAGAGATAGCAATGAATAAGTTGCGTTGGCTCGGGCAAGTGCTACGTATGCCTGGTCACCAATTCCCTAGGAGGGCACTGTCTAGTCTGCCAGGTGTAGGGTGGCGCAAGGCTCGAGGTGGACAGAAGTTGATGTGGCAGCGGGAAATGAAATCACTGACGACCAAACTGGGTGCCGTTGGACCGTCTCGCCTTCCGAGCTGGAGTCCACGTGATTCGCCTCGTGCTTGGCTCGAGACTTTACAGGACATGGCTCGCAGTAGACACCAGCGGCGCGTCTGCAGCCGTCTCCTAATCGGGTTGCTTGTTTAAAGTGTGTTTGGTGCTGAGTTATCTGCGGGGTAATGGCTGATTATGACGAAGGGCAGTGAAAGCCGCAAGGAAGCGGTCTCACCCATGTCGCCTTATCTTTGCATGATAGCCAGCTGTTTGTGACGGTGTTTTTAACACTAGGTGTAGGCGCCTTGACTCTGAATGTTTGGTTAGAGCATTAAGGTTTTTCGGTAAGTCCTTTTTCTCTCCCTCTTATTAGGCTTTATTCCTTAGGTCATCATGTCTGTAAGGCAGCGAAGCATCAGTTCAAATGGCTGATGTACTGTTGTTAGCTAGAATTGTAGGTGTGCCGGTCCAGTGCTGCAGGAGTACTTTGCACTTTGAAGGTGCAAAGTACATTGGAAACGTGCAGCGCTGTCCAGTAATGCTTGTATAGTGACTACTTCGGACCCAAAGAGAGCTATGTCACTTGCATACTCAAGGTTCGTCAGTCGGTTGCGTGGTAAAAGTTCCACTCTGGTAGAGGCTAAAAGGAGACAATTATAACCATTTCGATCAGAAAGCTGCAGGCTGTCCGTATAGTGTGGACACATGGGTAAAAATGCGAATGTTTATTCCCATAACGTCATTAATAAGATTTTTAATTCGTCTATCAGGGTCATTCTCTACTGAATGATGTGTGGACGCAACAACGGTACGCCTGATGCGTAAAAGCCTTCGAAGCCAGCAAGGAAGCCTTAGCTTCCGCTGTCATGCTTCATCACCTCGACTCGAAAGCCCCGATCAGTGTAGCCGTCGACGCCACGGAAAAAGCAATTGGCGCTGTTCTACATCAATTATCGCTAGGTAACTGGCAACGACTAGCGTTCTTTTCTCGACGTCCTCAGCAGCCGTAACGAAGTACACCACACTCGAGAGCGAGTTACTCCTCATCTACTCCGCGGCTCGCCATTTCCATCACGCTCTAGGTAAACGATTTATGAGCTTTACCGATCACAAACCAGTCGTCAACGCCTTCCGGAACCCGTCGCGTCGATAACATACGCGTGAAGTCCGTCCTCTGGATTTCGTCTTTCAGTTTTCGATGGACATCTAAGAAGTATCTGGAAAAGACAACGTCGTGGCTCCTTCGATCTGGCAGCTATGACCGCGGCTCAACATGCAGCGCCGCGTCAGACTGTGTACGCAACTGTCTGACTTGCCAACGAGAAAAAGTTCGACGTGTCATCCAGACTGGACGCTTTCCGTTAGTATCAACCCGATTCCTCCACGTCCACTTGGACAGCAATGGATCACTATCGCCATCCAAAGGCACGGTCCATATAAGGACCATGGTGGATTGCGCCATTTACTGTCCTGAAGTCGTCCCAATTCCTGAGGTATCTGTTGAGACGATAACCCACGCATTGGTCGAGCGCTGGGTCAGTTCACATGGCTGTACATCAACTGTGGCTACCGACCGTGGTCCGCAAATCGAATAGTAGACTCTCAATCACCTGTTCAAGGTCATCGGCTGTAACTCATTCGGACAACTGCCTGCCATTATCAGGGAAAATGAATGGTAGAACGCTTCCACTGACAGCTTAGAGCCTCTCTGAGTGCCTCCGATGAACTCAGCTTGACAGAAGTCTTGTCTATGGTGCAAATCGACATTCGATCTGCACTGGAAGCCGGTCCCGAAACGTCCAGCACCGAATTCGTTTCAAGACGACCATTCTGATTACCAGACGACTGCCCCGAGGGCCCAAAAACTCCTAGCTGCGACGCGCACTACGCTCGGCAGTCAGCCGTGAGCATGCGCTGAAACAAGTCGACGGAAGTTCGGGAAAAGCGCCACGTCTTTCGTTCCGAATTATCTGCGCCATTGTACGTTCGTCTTCATACGCGTCGATAGTCTACGCAGATCAGTCGAACGACTTTACGAGGGCTCATTCGAGATCGTTTCTTCGTCACCGAGCGCAACGGTAAGCGATAAACTGTCTCAATCGACCGTCTCAAAGTTGCTCATGTCGAATCAGAGTCGACGACTCCAATCCTGTGACGAAGCGACACAACCGATGGTGTAGGAAATGCCTATAGCAGACAGCAAGGCTTCAACCGGAAACCCGCCAACCGAGTCCTCTGATTCCACCCAGCCCAAAAAGATTACTAGGTCTAGCCGTCACGTTTCTTAAAACGCTAATATAACATTTGCACTCCCAACAGCGTTTCAGGTTTTCTTTTGCTCCAGTACCTACCGAAAACCGCAAAAGGTACAAAGTGTTTTGGAAACCAAAAATACGCAACAAGTTTGAAAACCGGAAAACCGATAAAAGGAGTTGTCTCTTCAACTTTTCGCTAGCCATTTGGTGAGTGTTTCTGTGCGTAGCTGTCGCCACTTCTACATGCCCGACCTCCCGTTTCTTCTTACTTTCTACGTTGCAAATCAGAGAACACGAACTAGTGGTCAAACGCAAGTGATCATGCGCTACAAACGTTCTTGCCATTTCTTTTATCGGCAGCTTTGCGGAGGACACAGGTGGGATTCCGCTATGATCCCCTAGCAGCTGCATCAAGTTCCGCCACCTGGTTTCGTAGAAGACTGGCCAGCGACGGACAGCCCTCATGTAGATCGAAGGGCGACCCACGGTTCCCTTCTAGGAGGAGCTGTGTAGTGGCCTGGAGATTCCCCTGTTTGTATGGGCACGACCTGTAAAAGGTTACAAAAGCAGTTTCATCTTGTACCTAGGGAACGTAGAACGCTTGCCTATTGGAATCTAGGCTACGTGTGTTTGAGTCAACCAGACGAAGTACACTTCTCAAGCTGCCGACCTTACGTCTGAAAGGGTGCTCGTGACGTCTGCACTCGTGACCGTCCTTAGCCCCTAGCTAGAACCTTTGTACGGCGCTCTTTATCCAACGGGACTGTATGTTCTAACAATAAATCTAGACTATCTATTCGTCTGCATTCGAACCTGGGTATCTAGCGAACGGGCAATTCCGGCTGGGTACATGCCCTGGAACCGACAAAGAAAAGCGAATAGCTTTAAGCCGAGTACATTCAGGTACTGAGCAAACGCTTAAGATGTATCTAGGACATCGTGTTGTAAAGTGGTAGAATTGCAGTGATATGAAGTAGTTTCCTGAGTGAAGGTCTACGGCAGCTTTGTTACCCGAGCCTGGAGTTGGAGTACAATAAATCGAACGGAGCAGGAAGGCGCAGCGAACCAATAGTAACGTGTGTCCCAGAAAGCCAAAGAACTAGATTCGGCGAAACGTTAGCGTGAGAAATCAATGAGGGCAACAGTATGTACAAACTTGTATTTACATTATATACAAAAACAAAAATGACTAGTTTTTATGCACGTTGTGGTTGATCATGGTGAATTTTGTCATAGGTCTCCCAGCAATACCGCACGTTCCGACACCAACTCGCCCATCCAAAGCTTCAGGAGAAGCAAAGATGCTTTTCCTGGTCTTGCCTATTTTTAACACCTTTTTGCTAAAATTGAGCCAACGGTTCTTTTCGCTCTCGCATAAATTCTCTATCTCTTCCTCACGTTGCTGTAGTTTTATTTTCTTCAACTTTTTCTTCTCGATTGCACGGGCCTTTACATCGCGCCTAGGTAGGGAAGTTAGATAATGCTTCTCAATATTTACTTCTTTTTCTTTGACACAGGGGCGACAGTGGTGACAGGCTTCAGATGGGACAGCTAAAAGGAAAAAAATACACATTCAAGTATTTGTAAGCTACGTATGTTAGACAGAAGTAAATGGACAACTTACGAGACATTCCAGCTGACTGTTTGATTAAACCAAGTTGCACCGTCCTCATTTGGAATTACACAATACTGAACAGCCTAGTTCTATTGCACTGACATTCAAACCCTTTAAGTGAAAGAGAATGCAAGCAAGTTAGTATACACAAAAAATTGCAAAGTAGAACGGAGATTCACGTGAACTGTACCCCGAGGTAGATCCAGCAGGCGATAACAAACCAAGACGACGAACAGAGCCGTGTTCGTTCAAGGGAGCAAACGCGGTGGCTGACAACCGCGGAGGCCGGCAAATCGATAGTAAACTTCGTGCAGTCCCTGTAAGCACGGCGGATTTTCCAATAATTCGGTCGGCTGTGAATGGACGGTCGCGATTAAAGAAAGTGAACATATTAACTGAGAGGTGGAAATGCAAGTCGACTCAATCCAGCGGTTGACGTAGACCGCAGCATCGGTAGAAGAAAGCTTTCAAGCGCCGGAATCGCTTTTGAAAATGACAAATAGACACAACCGAACGAGTAAATTAAGTTGGGAAAACGCCAAAAAAGCGGAGAACTGCTAATTAAAAATGTGGCCTAACAGGACGCGTCAGGAAAATAACGCCTGAATTGAAAATGACAAACTAGAGGTGCTCAGTTCATAGCCAAACTGGCAAGTGACCCCACTGGATATGTCTTCGAGATCGCGAAAAACGAATGTTTAGGCATAGCGTCCCCTGGAGTCTGGAAAAAGAGTACTCTTGTTGATGAATAGACTAATCAAGCGACAGTCAATGCAACATTGTGAAGCTCACCGAAAGCTGAGCTGGTATTATTGGGATCGGCCCATACTTCCGAAGTGGAACTTAATAGTAACATAGGGACAGCGGCGGTGAGGGTGAACTCATCTCTGGGCAAACCGATTAAGCGCAAAATGATACGGACTGGATGACGAGGTCACCATGTGCAAGAGCTCACTAGAACACTGTATTTAATGGGAATAAAAAATCAGGCTTTACATAACCCATCGGGTAAAAAGAGTTAGGGTCGGGTCTAATGAATGGCCAAGCAACATTATAGCGGGTTGTACTCGCGTGTTAGCCGCATCTTCATCGGGCTTATACGGCATTTAAACAGATTGCACGCCGGCTCAAAGCGTGACATCCCAACACGCCCTCCGAAACGGCTATGGAAAGGAAGTAGGTAGATGAAAAAGGAAAGAAACTCCATCGAGTAAAGGTAGTTATATCAGCGAATATCGCGGTGCAGCTCGGCCAGATGACAGTCCAGGCGGGTCTTAAAATCCGCCATAGTGGGTGCCAAGACTAAATCAGCAGGCAGAGCATTCCACGGTCAACAGATTCGCAAAGCGAAGTAGCGTCGTCTGCAGTTCAGCCGACTGTGCTGACGTGTAAATCTCAGTGGGTGGCCACGTAGGTGGGAGCACGATTGGTGCAGTGTGAGGTGGCGACAGGGATGTCCAGGGTTGGATAAGATCATAAATACAGGGATCAGGTCGCCCCGACGTTGGTACTTAAGCGAGTAGAGGCCCAGGCAGGCGCTTGAGACCTCGGACTAGTTTTGTAGTTCGACGTTGTGGGGCTTCGAGTATACGTTGGTCCTTCAACAACCATGGGCTCTATGCCTGAATAACAAACTCCAAGTGGGGTCGAAGAAAAGCGTTGGGGTGGAAATTGCTAGGGTCAATTTGACCGAAGGCTCGTTTCAGCTCAAGTAACTAGACACCTAAATTGATTGGCCGTCACCGTCAAGTGTTGAAGATCAACTAATATCGCCGACCCATCACATGATATACTGAATCAGTAGCTGGCATCCGACTTCCTACATGGCCACAATGATAGCTAAGTCGATCCTAAACCTGACGAGAAACTTCCTGGAGCGGATAGAGGTTGATGCTACCGTTTGTAATAAACTGCGTCCGGTTACGCGAAGCTTCGTGCACCTGAAATAGAGATGACAGGTAGATAATTCATAACGACGTAACTAATACTGAATCAATGACTCGAATAACCGTCAGCTGCGATATTCCAGTGCACCGACCTAGGTCTGTTTGACTACAGAAAACGAATTCAGTGGACGTACAGCAATAAACAGAAAGTCACTGAACAGATATTGTCTAGTTCCCAAGCGCTATTTCGGTATACTAAGATACTGACAATACAGCAAATCCGAAGGATTGTTATATGTCACAGGGCAAACGCGAAGTTCTTAATCCATCGGATTTTGTTACTAGCCTGAGTCTGTGGCGCACTAGCTGAATATTTACACCCTTTCGTATCAGTTGTGTTTCAGCAGGTGCGCTGCACAATATAGTGCTAGATGTGAGAACTACAACTGAACTAAGTTATCGATAAGCATAACCGTTCCATTGGCAGTAAGCTTTGTTTTAGTAAAGCGAATTGACGAAAGGCAGGTGTATCGACACGAATTTATTACACGGGACATGGAAATTGACGCGTCTATCAGCCAGTGTAATTGTCTAGAGGTGTGGCTTGAGTATCGACCGTGTTGAATCACTGTATTCAACTGCCAGGTAGGTCAACAAAAATGTGCGAAAAACAGATCGAACACGAACATTGAGTGTAAAGCACGACCGTATTAATCCGTAGAATACTGACGGTGAAACGCAACCCGGGTTTTGAGATAAAAATACCGATCAGGGTTCTTGGTCGCTAACAGATCTAGTCAAGTCAGTTCCTGAGGACGATACATGATTTCGCCCACATCAGTACATAACATTCGTGGCTAAAAATAGTGGAATAACCTCAGAAGGCTTCGGGTAGGGCCGACAATGCACTGCTATAGACAGTCCATTCTGCGACACCGCATGGCAACGGATAAGCATTGAACGCTAATCATATGATCCCTAAGATCGTGTTGACTACTGAACGGCAACTGCGAGTGGTGCGTCAGCATATTCTACTACGCCACGAATCGAAAGATGCAGTAACTTCAACCGACGGATAGCATCTCAAGACAAAGTTCGCGTTCATAAACATGCGGACAAGAAACTTGAGCGTCAGAACGCCTGTAGGGTGAAGAACGGAATTACTAACAACAAATTTAGCCGACAATCTAAGGGCACCTCAAACCACAGACAATTCCCGGGCCGCCAGGCAAATAGCAACCCCAAGAAATGCTAGAAAGTAAATCGTTCTTGCACTAGACAGTGGAAAGAAAGCCGTCAGCAGTACTGACGATTCGCTGCCGGAAAACCATCACCGTTTGCACGTGGCCTAGGGACACTGCGAGGGTCGCCCTGCTCATAAGCAGGCTCGAACCCGAGCCGCAAGATTACGAGACAAGCTCGTTACCCCAGGCTACGGGTCCAATTCAGGTGTTATAGCCTGCATTTCTGTTGCTATCTCCAACTGCCATACGTCGTCCGACAAGACAGGCAGATGAAGCCAAAAAATGAGGGTTAATAGCGGCCCATTCCGCGGCTATGGAGCAGCCGGGAAGCTGTTCAGTTACTTTTTGATGAGTTAATGCGTCCGTGTTTCAGCAAGCAAAGAATACTGATAACTCATTTTCTGACGCAACCGCAATACGATTCTTAGCCACGTTGCTAAGGCCGTAAGGAGACAACCGTAGCTACCGAGCGGTGCGTGAGGTCTACGATACCGTCATTTGCGCGGGGAGCTTGATATGGCACCAGGCACATGGTTTTCGTTTGCTCAGTCAGGATTGACAGACGCAAGAATTTTAGGTGTACCGGCGAGAATCGAAAAGGAGAATGGGGCAGTATGGCACTGAGTCCGAGTTAAACTATATGCAATATCCCTATAAGGTCATAAAACTTCGACTAATTAGCTGAAGCATTCCGGAGTAAAAAGAACTTATCCCGTACAATAGACAAAAGAAGTGGATTACCTGGCATACATCCGTGGTGTCGTAGGTTTCAAAATTGACCACACAGCTTGATTCACCAAGAAATTCCAATATCGTTGCCTTGTAGTACCTGATTACAATATCGAAGGAATAACACAACTCACAGTTTGTCACGAGAACACATTGCCATGCAGTGGTCACCAACGTGCCACTCGATCTCGTGAGGATCGGAGCTCTTACCAAGAAGCTCAACCGATAACCGTATGACTTCCTCCAAATCTGCCTTCAAGCTCTTTAAATCTTGGTTATCTTTATCTAATTCCAGGGCAGCTTCAACCTGAAGAAAAATCAAACAGTATACTAGGAAGTACCTGCTGCAGCTGCAGTTTGTGATTGAGCAAATCCAGTTCAGCGTCGTCCGCCATTGCGAATTTTGAGAACAGCGCCGGAAGAGTCAAACGTTGGGAGTATTTTGCAGCAACATAACCAAACACAGCTAAAAAGGTTAGACAGCACTAAGATTGTGTTAAGATTGTAGTTATGCCACAGCAAGTTATAGGGTTTTGCTGAACTTGCAGCCATGAAATTTTGAGCAAGTTGGAATTTTTGAGCACGCAGTCTTTTTTGACGTTTGCTTTCAAAGGACAGTTTTGAAACAGTGTTTACAAGTGTCGCGCAAAAACTGACTTTGTCAAATTGCGCTTGATCCAAATAATTTTGAATCATTTTTTCCGGATTACATCGTACCGGGTTTCGGGTACTTAACAAACGTCGTTCATCTTTTTCGGTTTCAGCCTCTGTCTAATTTTCCGGTATTTTGGTTTCTGTAATTCCTTTTACACCTTGTTTTATACCAGTAACGATTTCTGTCGACTGCCTTGCTGCTACCAGCTAGTCGGTTTTGCAATTTGATAGTTGTTTCACACACTGTCATGTCAGATGCATGTCATGTCAGATGTCACTGTCATATGCCAGATGTCAGATGCGCTGAATATCGGCGCTAATGTGGCTGCAGCTGCGTTGATCAGCGTATCTAATGCTGTATGCGGAGGCCTGAGCTGCTCAAAGCCTGTGACGGACGAGTCTGGTGGCATGCAGTGCTACGTATGCAACCGTCTGTGCCGTGAGTCCTGTACCCATTTGAGCTCTGATCTGTACACAATGACTTCGACTAGCAATAACATGCTGTTCAATTGTCTTCTATGCCGTCGCTGTTGACCTACAAGTCTTGAGGTCACTGAGGAGACATCGAGTAACAGCCGGCTGGGTAAGCAGCAGTATTGGTCTTTCCTTATATCTATTGATCGCAAAGTGCATGTACCGATCAGGAAAATGGGAGTCTATTGCTGTCGGCTCATTGGACGCAGACACGCAACTAACCTCATTGTGGTCGAAGAAAATCCGACTGAGGTGATGGCTACCGTGTCGTGTGCCCTAGCGGTCCGGAGTGACTCTAAATAGGTCTCTAATATACTGGAAGCCGTTTAAAGCGGGACCGAACTTATAGCCCCTGTGCCTAATAAAGGCAAGAGGAAGAGGGATAAGAAAGACCGTAAGGCTCCCACAAAGCTTTAAGGTACTGCAACCATTAGGGTATTGGAGGTGGAGCACGAAGCTCCAACCCCAATCATCATCATCATCATCGTTACACGTTAGCTAGAGTTGGAAAGCACCTCAGCTATTGTGCCGCAATAACAAGACAAGAAAAGGAAAACATTGACACGCCAGCTGAGTCCCCAGTAACGGATGGATATCGTTCCGGAGAGCTAACCGCTGGCTGCCGTAAAAGGAACTCGTTTTATGCCTAACAAGTGAGATTGGGACTGGAGGGGATGCTGAACAGGAGGGGGATGGACAAAGGAAAGCACGACGCAAACGCTATTGATGCCGGCTCCTAGCCATATCAGCGAGTGTGTCCAACCAAGCGTGTTCACCGTCCTTAGGACCCCAACCAGGCAGTCGGGATGCACCAACCGACGCCAACTTCGAAGTGCGTGTTTTCATTGCTTTCGACCAAGTCATCACTTGGCCTCCCCCCTCCTCTTCCAATCGCACCCACAAAGCGCAAACAAAGCACGTCACGGGGGTCGTTGTGCTGGCATGCGCAACACGTGGCCCAGCCATCGGATCCTGGTGCGTGATATAATGGTGCTGAGGGGTTTACTCGGTCTTCCTGAAGCAAATACGCGACGTCGAACACGCTCCTTGCTCAGGCGGTTCTCCCACCAGACATGAGCGAAGCTACGAAGGCAGCGATGATGGAATGTGACGAGCCGCTTCATGTTTGTCGACCTGATGGGCCAGGTTTCACAGCCGTATAGGAGAGTTGAAGGGACGGCTGCGTTATAAACTGTGTCCTTGAGGGCGAGAGTAATGTCGCGTCTGCGCCACAGGTGACGGAGATTGGCAAAACACCTCGAGCTTTTACAATACGGTTTGTAACCTCATCTTCAATCCCACAGGTGCTAATATAGCTGCCAAGGTGCTTGAATTCCTGAACGACATCTACCAGATCATCACCAAGCGTTAGCGCAGGGTTGGGCCCCTGCCAATCTTGGAGAAGTACTTTGCATTTCGATGGAGCAAAGCATAGCCCAAAACGATTGACAGCCAGTGCTAATCGGTCCAGTGCTCTTTGGCATGTTTGTGAGCTGTCACAGATTAGGGCAATATCGTCTGCATACTCCAAGTCAAGAAGTTGCTCACCAGGAAGTAGCTCCACACCTTCTAGGTCGTGTCCAGCGAACGCTGTTTCCATGACTTCATCAATAGCGAAGTTGAAGAGGAAAGGCGACGGCGGGCATCCTTGTCTCACACCGCTGGTGATACTGAAGGGTGGCGACAGTTTGCCATAAACCCTCACCCTGCCCGAACTATGCGCGTACAGCGCTTTGATAATGTTTACATATTTATCAGGCACACCTTTCCTCGGCAGACAATCCCAAAGGGCACATCGGTCAACTGAATCGAAGGCACCTTTTATGTCAAGAAACACGACGACGGTGGGTCGTCTGTAAACATGACGGTGCTCCAACACTTGACGCAATGTGAAGATGTGGTCGATGCAACCCCGACCTCGACGAAATCCGGCTTGCTCTTCACGAATCTGGCTTTCACGAGTGCCAGTCAGTCTGTGGAGAATGACAGAGGCAAGCACTTTAGAGGCAATCGAAATCAGACTGATCCGTCTATGACTGCCACATTCCAAACGGCGATGACAGAGCTCTGCCTACGAACTACTGGCCTGTCAGCTTCCCAAGCGTAGTAGTAAAGCTGTTTGAAACTTGGTCAGAGATTCGGTGGAGAATCGCCCCATTAAGTTTAACCATCGCAGTGCGACCCAGCTCGGATTCCGTAAGGGATTTCCATGCCCGAATTTTTACTTGTAGGTCGTGAAACCTGGGCTGAGGCAGTAAACAACGGGCACGCTATGGACGTGCCTTTCGTTGACTTCTCGAAAGCCTTTGCTACTGTCCCACATCAACGACTCTCATTGCAGTTGAGATCGTATGGGATATCTAAAACCGCCCTTAAATGGGTCTACTTTCCTTCTAGGAACGAGCGAGCTGTGTGTACACGTGGCGCGTAGCCTTTCGCTTAGACAAGCTGTTCTTAGTGGTGTTCCGCAGGGCTCGGTTCCAGGGCCGTTGCTTTTCGCCATTTATGCCTATGTCCTACACCAGAAGCTTGAAGTACTGTAGCTATTGTTTGCTGATGACCTCAAGCTCTGGAATATTGTGGATATCCCTGGTGGCTCTGAGGCACTTCATAGTGCCTTGGATAGGCTCTGGGATTGGTCAACCTTATGGTTGATGCCTATAAATTAGGTGAAATTTTTTGTCCTTTGCATTGTAGGTGCTAGTCTCCCACGCGCTGCGTGGTTGGCGGAAGTGAACTCCCTGTTGTCACTCAGTAGGTTGATCTAGGTTGCATCCACACCTCAATGCTTCACTCTGGATTTGCTTGTAGAGGGTTCCGTATGGTGTGGTTTATTAAACCGCTCCTTCGATGACCTAACCGCCAATATTTTTGTGAAGCTGTTCTCAGCTTTGTGCGACCCCACTTAGCATAATATATACAGCCTTGTGCACCTTGGCTTGTAAGGGTCAAAATATAACTGGAGAGGGTTATGCAATTGGGTACAAGGTTAATACAAGGATTGCTGGGCAAACGTATCCCGAACGTTGGATCAGCTTGGGTATGTACTCGATGCACTACCGCAGAATTAGAGGAGACTTGATCCTCACTTACCCTATCTTAACGGGTAAGATCGGTCCAGACTTGTCATGCCTATTTGGTCCCACCAAGCTGCCTAGTCTCCAAGGTCACCCGTTGAAGCTGCACGAACTGCGTCCTGACTGGTTAATGAAGGAACGTCACTTGTCGCGCTGAGGTATTGAACGCTGGAACTCGCTTCCGGAGCATGTCGTTTTGTAGTCTACGATAGAGGGTTTCGAGCGTCAGTTAGATGCTCTTGCGTGGCAGTACCAAACATGCCCCTTCTCCTAACCGACTTGTATCTTCCGCTTTCCCTTCCTTTTTTACCTTATCACACCTTGGAATAATCATTATTTAGCTGACACACCACCTCGTGTTTTCTTAGCTTTCACTACGCTCTTATACTGCACATAAACCGGCCTAGCAGGGACTGCTGAGCAGGAAAATGTGAGCAGTAATTGGTGTGACAAGGTGTGATGCGGTCTCTGTCTTAGAATTTTCAAACTCTCAAGCAGACCTTTCAATCCCCGATCCAACCGTAAGCAAAAAAGGAACATTTACGGGATTATCCTATCGTTCCGGTCCCAACTGAACTTGAACTTTACTACTAAAAGGAGCCCCCATACTTTCTTGCTTAACCATGGATATCCGACACTTGTGGAGCTCATATTCCATCAGCTGTAATAATTACTCTTTCTTTTGCCATGCTATATTTGCACAATGAATCGAGTGGCCCTGCAAAGTTAGGCTGTTTTCGTTAATCCTCTGCGATTCTCTAACAAGGAATCACTGAACCATTAGACCATTGAATTGTAAAATTCATAATAAGAACCCTTGTCAGCTTCATCGCATCACGCGCGGTGTAGAGACGATGCGTGACCTTGAGAAAAGGCAATCACATTGGACGGTTACAGCTGCAACGAAAGTAAACTCAGCCCGGCATTCGTAACAAATGGAGCTCCAACAGCCTCTTACAACATTCCTCTTTGAACGCATTGTAAACGGGCTTCGGTCTAGCGTTCTAGTCGTTTAAAGCCAAGTGGTTAGAGCGACTTACTGACGGACAGTGAGTTTCTTCGGTTTAAGCAGCTTTCCATTGTGTTCCCGCGTTGAGTTTTCAGGGTTCAGCTGGAAGAACGGTCGCAACGGTGCCCATTTCTCTACTAAAAACCGACCTGGTGTGTTTCGGACCTCCCCGGCGACGACGATAACCCAGGGAGAGGAG